GGGAAGGGGGGCGGGAAGGGGGAGAACAAGGGAATCTGTGGCTGTTATGTAGAACTGAATGGTATTGTAAAATAAAATAAAATTAAATTTTTTTTTAAAAAAAAAGAAGAATGGATCTCAATCATCAGTAACTCTGCTCCAGGGTACCCAGGACCCTCTTGTGGCTTCTGCTGACAACGGCACTCATATGCGTATACCCACAAAAAGATATGGATAATTAAAAACGAAATCAATCTTAAGAAAAAAAAAAAGACTGAAGACAAGGGTGCAATTAATGATAGTGGCTCTTTTATGAGGAATCCTGCAGCCGAGAGTGAACAGTGAGTTTTCTGGAATGGGAGCTTAAGCCTTCAATATTGATAAAGACAGCAAAAACCACCACTTACCTGCCCACCCCACCCCCACCTCCACTTTTGTTTGTGGATGGAGAGCTATCTTCTAAGCTGGCAGAAATGGAAAAAAAAATCACTCAGAACAAGGAAATAGCTTGTGGGGTTGAAGGATATGGACTAAGGGACACTATTTTCCGAGACTGGCCATGAATGAAACAGGAGCACTGGTGGGCAGAAGGAGAGGTGCAGTGCAGTGCATAAAGTTTCTTCTGAGGTGAAACTATGAAAATAGGAGTTGCCACTTGCTTGTGGAGAACTTGAGGCTCTTTTTTGGTGGGCAGAGATTGAGAATTAATTCCAGGATAGTGTGTCTGTGGTAGAGTGGTAGGGGTATTCTCATCTAAGGTCATCTAAACCTAACACCGATGGTACAGCTGGATCCTGTAAGGACTCAGGAAACGGAGAATGCTGCTTGTTCTCTAGTGGAAATGTTAGGAACTGAGCAGCACTGGGGAGGGTGGCTCTCTTCAGGTGACTGAGAAGAAAAAAATGCGGCTTTAGGGGGTCTTTAACTCCTGACCTTGACTCTGGCTAAAACTTGGGCCTGTTTCTTACTTCTTCTGAAGTAGAGGTTAGCTTTGTACAGAGCTCCAGATTGCCTCTCTTCTGGCTTCACACTGGCTTTTGAAGCTCCAAGGAGGAAGTGACCACTGTCACCAAGGAAAGCAACTTGAAGGAAGAGAGGTTTTTGCATATGCTGCTCTTCTGGCACTTCCTCTGGCATGGAGTGAGTGGGTTCCCTCTGTCCCATAAAAGTCTGAATATGTGATACTTTGTTCTTTAGGTTGACTCTGCTGCCACTCTTGCTAGTAACACTTCAGCACTTTTAATTCTGAGATCCTCATTTGGGAAGTCAACACAAAGTTGAAAACTTGGGGCCTCTATGTCTAAGCACAGGTAATGGAAAGTCCCTATGTGAACATTTCTGTTCAGTGTTCTCAGTAACTATTCAGGTCACCATCATGGGTCCTATTTTTTTAATAGTAGTTTTGTTCAGGAATGCCAAATACCTGCACGCTATTTTTAATTTTGGAACAAGTTTGTTTCTCAAGAGTCTTGGTGCTGTGGGATGTTAATGTATGTCCTGTGGGAGCCCTTCTTGGGTTCCTTATGGCGTTGCCCAGCAGGTTTGCATAGAGGATGATTAGGACCATGGGCCTGAGTGCAGGTGTCTGAGATGGTCTGCACTTGGCTGTACTGGGGGATGGTCTGTATG